TAAGGCGCTGATTAGAAATGCCAGAACGGTGACCTCATCACCAAACGGGAAGCCGTATGAGCTGGCTAGGCCACGTTGAGCCACGTTGAGCCACACGTGGGAGCTGCAGCTGGGAATAGCCATCCCGAACAACCTGAGATGAGAGCAAGCATGATAATTCCCATTCTATCGGCGCGTGAGCCTTCGCATACTGCCATTGCCGCCGACACCCCAAGCTTTGGAAGCTTTATACTCGGAGGCCGATCTTACCTAGCGTCTCAGTGCCGTGAAGCCGGAACGTGGGCACTCCACAGGCCCGCATCATGCAGGTCCCGAAGCTCCCCAGAGCTCTTTCCTTGCCATTGCCATGCCTTCGCCTTCGTTCGTATATTCTCAAGTCTTTCCCCCCTTCACCTTGTCCTGTACATGACTCTCTTTTGAGTCTTTTTCTAACCATCACCCATCGTCGCACATCTCTACGCGCATTCCTATCGATAAGCATCCGTTAAGCCTCGGCGCATCGTCATCCTATTCACTACCAAAGTGTCGTCCCCTACGAGATCCCGCCACGAGCTGGCATCCATCTACGATATGGAGCCGCGGGAAAGCCTCGACGACGAGGGCGCGCCTCCGCAAGCCTACCGTGACGACGAAAACGCGACGACACTTCCTGCCGAGTCAGCCGACGCCATCGCGACTCCCGAGACATCCGGTCAAGAGCACGACACCCCACAAGAGCCCTATTACGCCAACAAGTACATCCCGCCGCGGTTGCAACGTGTATGGAACAATGTTGTCGTATGGGTCAAGGGTCCACAACCGCCCCGACCCTGGAAGATACACCCTTTCTTCCCCAAGATACAGACTGCGCCAATCCAGTTGTTGAACAACTATTTTCCTGAGAGAAGACAAAAGATCGGCCTGTTGGTCTTTTTCTACTTCTGCTGGATCCTGACCTTTGGCTTGGTCCTGCATCGTAGCGCGTTTGCAGCGGACATTCCTGGATATGGCAGCCCCGTGCGAATACGGTGTACGGATCGCTTCTGGGACGATGGCAATGGCTGCGGGCTCAACGGCGATCTATGTCGACCCTTTGAGAACAGCACCATGCCTTTCCGCTGCCCCGCAAACTGTAAACGCGTGCAATTGCTTAATCCACATGCTGTTGGTGACAAGAATGTCAACTATCGTCCATTGGTTATTGGCGGACCCACCGACGAGGAAAACACGCTGGAGAACACATATTACCGCGCCGACTCTTTCATCTGCGGGGCTGCTATCCATGCTGGCTTCATAAATGACGCGTCGGGTGGCTGTGGAGTTGTTGCGCAGGTTGGCGAGAAGACTGACTACCCCAGCGTAAACAGGAGACACATCAAGAGCATTGGCTTTGATTCGTATTTCCCGCGCTCCTTCTCCTTTTTGCCCGGTACGGCAGCCAAATGTCGCGACTTGCGGTGGCCATTACTAGGCGTATCGCTGACCTTTACCATCCTGTTGTCTTTATTTACTACCTCACCATCCGTCTTCTTTACCTCCATCTTTGTCGGTGTCTTCTTCCACGTTGCACTGGCATCTGACCCTCCCAACTTGACTGATTATTACTCCATAATCAGTATTGCTCTGTCACGCTTCCTTCCCGCGTCATTCTGCATGTATGCTGTCTACCGGTTTGCAGTGCGTCGCCAACTGCAAGGTCTTCACGCACAAGTAGAGAAAACCATCCTCTGGCTCGGAGGATGTTGGATCGGCGCTCTGAACAACTACACCTTCGACAAGATTCCCATAGAGCGTCTTACACCCCACGATATCAAGAACCAGCCAGGCGCTATTCCTGCGCTTATCATTATCGTCCTCACCCTCTTCGTCATCGCTCTGGGACAGGCATGGTCATTCCGCGTCGAAGGTCGTCTACCGCGTTACCTTGCCCTCTACGGCATTCTGGTGGCTGGCATCCTGGCACTTGTTGCCATACCAAGGATGAACGTCCGCATCCACCACTACATCCTCGGCCTACTCCTTGTACCTGGCACATCCATGCAAACACGCCCCTCGCTTCTCTTCCAAGGCATTTTGATCGGCCTCTTCATCAACGGGACCGCACGCTGGGGCTTTGCCAGTATCCTCGAGACGCCTGGCGCACTTCGTGGTGACGCGCCCATCGGGACCGTACTCCCACTCATCACTGCGCCTATCATCCACAACAACTTCAATCTCCACCATCTGAGGCCCAACATCACCTTCGATTGGCAATACCCATTCCCTGAGCCTTATGATGGAATGAGCGTTCTGGTCAATGATGTAGAAAGGTACCATGAATACGCTGACCGTATGGAGGAAAGCTGGACGTGGACTAGACACATGGAAGGCGTGAACGAATACTTTCGATTCGCTTATATAAGAGGCGGTGGAAGGGGGGATTACACGAAAGCAGGAGTTTGGAGAGCGGATGGTGGCTGGACAGACATGGCCTCCGGGCCATCGTAATCCCTTTGCAAGAGAATGTACTAGTCTTGATCAGCACCGCATCGCATCGCATGATCTCTCTTTCTAGGCGCTTCACTTGTGGTAGTAAGCGCGTGAAAAGAGAGATCATGCGATGCGGCACGGTACTAAAGACAGCAGTCTATCGTAAGGCTAACAGATCGCTCATCATTGCTTCGGCTCCACATCTATCTCGATGAGCACATCAATAACACGTTCATTCACTCTCTCAAACTTCCACTCGACTCATCCAACTTGTACGCACGTTCTGTAGGCTGCACATCTGGCAAGGAGGGTATCGTTCCTCTAATGCAACATGACCGAGCGGACGAGAACGTCCATACGATGTTTTGTCCGATCCGACCGGTAGTCAGATCGCACATTGATTTCGCAAGTGAGACTACGCTTTGGGGAGATGCGTGTTGGACGCTTTAGGGAAATGCGTGTTAGATGTTCCACTCTTTGTAATGTTAGAATGCATTGCTGAGATTGCACGACAATGCAACACACACTTTCTAGATCCTTCTGTGATACCACGTCGCCTTGAGTATTGGGTCCGGTTAGTTTGTCTTGGTGTTCACTATTCGTCCGCCGTTACGGACCACTCGACCCATGCAGAATGATACGTATCACTAGTTGGCTAAGCTTGCGACCCGCCCAAGGCCGCAGGTATGTCTGTGTCGGAAGTGAGTGCAACATCTCACATCGCGCCATCGCCTGTACCCAAATACATGAATGAACTTTACATTCGTTCGGTGTTTAGTTGAATTGCACAATGGACACGTGACTGATGTAACTGTCTGTGCCGGGGCCGTTATTTCCGTACGCACATGCGTAAGAGTGGTTGAGCGGGGCCATTGTGCAATTCCTGCCGAGGAGGGGTCGGGGATAAGTGGAGCACGTCTTGCCAAGAATACGCATTGTGTTGGTGGCATCATCGGACGACTGGTATATATGAACATTTGTAATGTGGATGCTGACTCGCTCGGCATTCTAGGAGAAAGACGCGAGCTGCTGCCTGCTGTATTGGGTATATAAGTCAATGAAAGAGATGCGTTGGGAAGGAACTATCAACAGCTCAACCGCGGCTTCCTCCCCTGCATCATCGGTTATATCATCAACATCATCGCTCGTGCTTTCCCCGCTATCAATTCTCCTACGCATTGAAGCTTTTGTCTGACTCTAAACATCACAAACCAATCCCCACGAATCAAAATCGAATTCCATCACCCATCACCATGGTCAAATCAGTCTTCGGAGGAGCTGCGCTCTCAGACACTGCGTACTTCAACACGCAAGAAGACCGTGCCAAACTCATCGATGTTTTGCTTGCCAACGGCGTCAAGAACATTGATTCCGCACGTCTCTATGCTGGATCCGAAGTTGCCATCGGCCAACTCGAGAAGCGCAAGGACTTCATTATCGACACCAAGCTCCCTGGCGGTTTTGGTCCGCCCGGTGAACTCAAAAAGGACACTGTGATCAAGTACTGCCAGGAATCTATTGAGCGTGCCAAGATCGACCAGTTCGACATCTTCTATATCCATGCTCCAGACCCAACCGTTCCTTTTGAGGAGACCCTGGAGGGCATGAACGAGGTGTACAAGAAGGGCATCTTCCGCCGCTTTGGCCTCAGCAACTTCTCGGCCGAGCAAGTTCAGCAAGTCTACGACATCGCGAAGGCCAAGGGCTACCCACTCCCGCAGGTCTACCAGGGTAACTACAACCCTGTTGCCCGACACTTGGAAACTCAGCTCTTCCCCACACTCCGCAAGCTCGGTATGCACTTCTACGCATACTCACCCCTTGCTGGTGGCTTCCTGGTTAAGACCGCAGCAGACCTCGATGCAGGCGCCGGACGCTTCAACGAGCAAGCCATGGGCAACATGTACGGAAAGCTGTACGATAACGAGACCATGCGCAAGGCGCTCATCAAGTGGAACGAGATCGCCGAGAAGGAGGGTGTCACCAAGGCGGAACTCGCATACCGCTGGATGGCCTACCACAGCGCGCTTGAGGGAGACGAAGATGGTGTCATCTTCGGTGCCAGCAAGATTGCTCAGGCTGAGCAGACTGCGCAGAGCTTGAAGAAGGGCAAGCTTAGCGATGAGGCGGTCAAGGGCATTGAGCAGATTTGGGAGAGCGTCAAGGAGGTCGCTCCTGTTGATAACTACCACAGTTATGCTAAGAAGTAGTAGATGACGCCATGATATATTAGAAGTTGTCGTGATGTCATAATGAAACGTCGACATAGTCTACCCTAACCTTACATCGTTCTTGCCTATGATAATTTACCCTCGATACCATATGATGCCCCATGCGCACGACCCATTTCGTACTTCCGAAGACCCTTCCAGCCTGTCCCTCTCTTAGTGCTTTATATACCTTGAGCATCACGCGGGTACTGCGCCTCTCTTCATTTGCGAGTCTTTCCCGAGCATTATGCTCGAATCCACCACTAAATCAACGAATCTTTCGAGAACCATTTTCCGCCTATTATCAAGCAAACCCACGAAGATCGCACCTTCGGTCTCGATTCAAGCACCTGTCTGCTAAAATCATTCAAGATATCTACCTGCAAGTTGAACATTCTGGTTGTTGGGACGCAGACATCCACTTGTCGGAAAGGTAGTTCGTGTAGCGGAACATCGTGGTTTCGAAGGAAATGTCCTCTCTCCACGCTCACACAGTCCCAAGAGAGTTCTTTCTTGATGTGAATGCTCTCGCTGTATTTTTCATACCAGTTCTTCTCGTAGTCACGGTAGAAACCTTCAGCGGCCTTGTGAATTTCCGGTGGTGCTTCTTCTCGGATTCGGCGACATGTTTGTATGAGGTCGAGGTGCTGGGTTTTGCCGAAGTGCTTTCGATCGGTCGAGGAGTATGGCGAAAGATATGAGTATACTAGGAACCGCAGTTCTGCGGGCAGCTGAAGAAAGCAACTGGGCGCATCAAGTGCGACGGATGGAGCTGGCGTCATGAGTTTGTTGGTTTGAGATGTGGGTGAGAGGCCATCCGGGGTAGCAACTGCCACGGCTTGCTCTGTCATGTTGGTGAGTGATCTTCAACCTGAGTAGATGGTTGAGTGATTTGTATGTAATGAATTCTGGTTTTCTATAGAGTTCCAGCCTTTTTGTACGTTAAGAAACGTAAGGAAGAAGGAAGTGCAGGGAGCGGATGCCTAGCAGGCCCTAACGCTCGAGCAACTATAGCGGACTTCATTCATCTTGTGACGTCAAGTTAGTTAGATTACTACGTCTGCCTAACGAAAAAGCTCTGTTATTCCATTGTGTACCTTTCAGATTGATTCAATGCGTACTGCCTATACCCATCCCGCGCCACCACCTCGACTCGACTTCTGCACTTCGACTACGATCCGCATACAGATACCGGATACTCCCTCGAGATGGCTTCTACGCCTTCCAAGGGTCATAATAGCGACAACACAGGGTTGCAGAGCGACTACACTAGATTTGCCGCTTCCCATTCGTCACTTCCCGCCGTACGCCGAGATGAACGCTCCTTTCTCGACCTCCCCGTTGAGCTCCGCTGCATGGTGTACCAATACTTCTTACCAGAAGGCCAACTGGCTGTCTACCCCAAACCATCAATATACAACGCCCTGATACACATTTGCAAGCAAATTCGAGAAGAAGCGCAAAAGGTGATCCAAAAGGCTGCCGATGGGTACTTTCGCGCCCATGATGCACGATGGTTTCGGAAACCGAGCTTCCATTTCACGATACAACCCGCCATCGACCCTACTCACATTACTGTTGTCATCCCAGAGGTCTTCCCCGAATTCCATGATCCGGATACATTGTTCCTCAGGATTCCGCTGCTACGCTTGCCGCTCCAGCAAATCACCCTGGACATCTCCACAGCGATCGCAAACACGACATTTCCCTTTAACAAGGATGCTTTACGTCACCTGCAGTATTGGATCAGACATCACATACCCCAGGCGCGCCGGACTACCATTCACTGGGGGCACTGCCATTCCCAGGACACAATGACGGCTATGAGTGACTTCTGCAGAGGCTTGGAATTCCGTTCATTTTTCCACCTCCAGAGTGGTGAATATAAGTTATTGACTGAGTGTGCAAACGTCACACATCAAGGCAACGAGCACGGCGTGTCGGAGGCTGTAGCAGTGACTTTCCAAAGGACACCTTTGTCTAGAGAGGAGTTTCTGGAAAAGTTGCATGGTAGAGCAAAGCGAGCTGTTCGGCGGATCGATGGGAGCAGGGCAGGATGAGCGAACGATACAGTCGTTCTATGTCTCGCCTAGAATATGGGAAAGATCATGTATCTTCCCCGGCTTATCGTTTTTCACCTACGTGCTGTCATAAAGTAGACTTGGAAAGCTGGGATACGTATGTTGAAGGAAAGGTCTATAAGACGCGAGTCATGAAAAAATGAGAAGCCAAAACCATCAACGAGTGCATCGTCTTGCACAGATCGTGAAGGCCCGCAAATGAGACTCCATATCCCCATAACTAACTCCCCGTTTTCTCTTCAACCCAAGCGCTGAAAGCAGCAGTGGCCACTCACACCATCCTCTCAGCCGAATGGCTCACTTCTTTATAACCGTAAGAGCCGGCTCCGGCTTACTCCTCTTCTTCTTCTTGACCTCGACCGCGGGCGCAGTCTTCACCCTCTTCCTAGGCTGCACCTCATTCGGCTTGGCCGCCGTACCCCGCTTAGTTCCCTTGCCCTTACCCTTCGCCGCAGTTTCAGCTGCCGCAGTCTTCGCCTGAGGCCCCCGCTTAGTTCCCTTATCAGCCCTAACCTTCTTGGCCTTAGGTTCTGGCTTCAGCAGTCCATGTTGCTTGATGTAATAGATCACATCAAGCGCCACGTCACAGAACTCTTGCGTACCCCGGATGAGCTGTAGCGGCTTCTTCTTGCTCTCCAATCCTGCTCGGTATCGGTCTACGACGGCAAAGAAGATCTCGTTAGTGTCGGCGTCGACGGCGTCGCGCATGCGCTCGTAGTCCTCTTCGCCACGGTTGTGATCTTGGTGGAAGTGGCCGCGCCCCATGCCGAACTCGTCGCCGATTTCGAACTGAACGTACGCTTCTATGACCATGAGAGTGATAGTGTGGAAGTTCAGAAGAGCGACGGCGGGCTCTGGGTCTGGTGATGACATGGCTTGCTGACCGGGGATGAAGACATCGATCAGTAGGCGGGCTTCTTCGTCTGCGTGGTCTGGGGAGAGGAGAACTTCTTCGCGGACCATACCAGGGAGTGAGACCTTTGCGCTAGGAATCTCTTCGCCTTTCTCGAGAGGCTGGCGTTGCATTTCATATCGGGGAAGCGTCCAATCAATTTCTTGGATGTCGTCGGAGGAAGGTGGCGCGTTCTCCGTGGGTGTGGGAGAGGGGGAAGCAGGCTGAGGAAGAGGGCGTGGCATGCGCACTACCTTCCGGTCGACAATAGGTCCACTGCTTTTGGGTTTGGAATTACTCGCGACGAACTCGACGCTTGAGTCGTCATTCAGGCTAGTGACTGATGGGTGACGCTCCACCCGCGTCCGAAGCGGCTCATCGTCATCGGAAGCATTGCCTTCATCGCCACAGTCGTGTTCACCGAAGACTTGCTTTCGTACCTTTTGGGTGACCTGGGGAGTACGTTGTTCTGGTATCCAGTTATCCGAGCTGTTCTGTCCGTAATCCATCTGCTGATAGCCCCTCGATGAAGCACGTTGATAGCTCATTGGGCCAGTGAGGAACGCAGGTACAGCAGCTGGTTGGCCATGATAATGGGCAGATTCGTAAGGTACCTGCCGAGTCGATCGCTGAGGCCCCGCTTGCATCTTCATGAACTGATCCAACTGTCTTTGTTTCTCCTCAACCTGCACCTTAAGCTCTTGTTGGCGCTTCAAGCTAGAGTCGAGATCGCGTTGGCGGTTTTGACTAGCGGGCTGTTGCGACCCATGACGAGGTGAATGTGTTCCGTACTGCGCAAGACCTTTCAAGATGGCAGCCGGGTTAAGTGCACGTGCGCTTCCAGAAGAGGGTGAACTAGACTTGGTGAAGCGAATTGGATCCGTAAATACGTGTTGACGTTGACTCCACGGTACCCCAGCTTCAGCTTCGCCACTAAGAAAGGCCAGAGATTCTTGATCAATTGGATCTTCTGGCCGCATCCGGGTCGTGCCATATGTGAAATCGGATGACATGGCCTGATGGTCGATCGGTTGATAATGTTGGTGTTGTCGGGCTCCGCTGGCTGCGTCCGCCTCGGCTTGGTTCGCGGCGTTGGAGGCCCACTCGTCTACATCGAAGGGGTAAGACATGTTGGTGTCGGCGACAAACGACAAGTCGTTATCAGGTGCGATCGATGGTCCGTTTGCGCTCTGCTGATAGCCGCCGTTGACGTCATCGACACCTTGCACCTCCACGGCCGCAGCCCCCTTCAAGTTCTCGGGTTCAGATGTAGCAGCCTGGATACCGAGAGCATCCGAGGACTTGCCAGAAGTGTCATGTTCGATCGAGACCTGTATTGACTCGTCGCCAAGTTGACCATCAATGCTCATAGCATCCCTAATCAGGTCCTGACTTCGATCGTCGACATTTTCATGTGCACCGTGCTCAGGCTCGTCCTTGACCATGATGGACTGACCCGAACTTCCCGTGGGCTCATTCAGGGGCTTCAGGGCTGAGTCTTGATCATCGCTCTGTTTCTCGATCTTGACTTGTGGCGAGGTCGAGTTTGGACTTCCAGGTGCGGTAGCTTCATGGTCTTCGACTTCCTGCTTGACAATGGCGATTTCGATGGATGGCTCAGCTGATTCATCCGGAGTTGCGCGCAAGTCCGGGGAAGTAGAAGAGGCATTACTGATGTTTCGGTGACCTTGCGGAGAAGTCACAGGAATCTTGGTACTGTACTTCAGCTTGACCATGAATTGCGGTTTTGCGCTTGGATTCGGCTCTTCTTCAGAAGTCAGAATCTCGTTGCCGTTGACTGTGATAGGAACAGAGTCACCTTTCGGGAGTTGGTCTGCACCATTGCCAGGTCCTTGACGTGATTTGGTCTCAGGACTCTTCCTCTGATCCTGTTCTTGAACTGGTGTCGGAATCTTCTGATGCGGACTGCCCGCGGTAGGATGAGGGTCTGGCGATGTGGCGTGATTGCTCGCGGCGTCCATAGTATCGGCAATCTTGCAACCTGCGAGGTCAGTATTGTGGAAGTTTGATTGGCGTCTTGCGCTGAAAGCTGTACTTGTCGAGCAACCTCAGGGTCGCGATAGTCACTTACCAGTCGTTTTTCGGTGTTTGTGATATGTTAAAAAGTTGGTGGGTGTAGTAGGTAGGACGAAAGACTGTGAGTCCTTGTGGGCAGTAGCGGCTTTATATGGAGCCCGCAAAATAGTTGGCAGATAATTAATAACGTTCAACTTTACCTGACAGCGTACATAAGCGTTCTCTCACCTCTGAGCCAATAGCTGCGCGTTTGCTCTATAGAGAAAGGAGCCAGAGGTACCAATGAGACGTGGGATCTGGAGTACGAGACGGATACTGATGACCGCGACTGGAGCCTGACCAGTCACAAGAGCAGACTGCCGATGTCGGTGAGCAATATTTACTTGTCGGCAAGATGATGCGCTCCTGATTCGCTGTAGCGAGGCGTATTCACGGGTATCTGAGCAGGATTGCTGTAGTCATCTGAGCTAGAATGACAACGTAGTAGGGCGTTGTCATAGCGACGTGTAGGAGTGAAGAGAATCACATAATGGCGAAGCACGGAAAGTGGATGTTGAAGACTACACAAAGGTCAGCATTCCTCGAACTTCCTCCAGGGGGAGCAAAGACTCACCGGCACTGTCAGAACATCGAAATAGGGAGGGGTATCTATTCTTCTATATCCTCAATCTTATCTCTTCCATCGCTTCGCCATGCCTGCCATTGAGAATGGACCATCGTTTACATACTCACACAATCCTTCCGATATCCCCCTTCAACCTTGTCACAAACTCGTCGAACAGCGGCGCCAACGAACAGTCCCGGTACTTATCTACAAACAGCCCGCCTTTGTTCTTCAGCGCCGCAACCTCTTCGGTGTCCAACTCTTTGCCCTGTATGACAGTACCCTTGGGGTATACAGGCCTCGTCCCACTCTCGACCAATTCCACAAACGCTGGATCAATTGGTACGGAGCCGAGGAATGGTACTTCGAACTCAGTCGCCATGACCGCTCCGCCGCCCTTGCTGAAGACATTTGTGCATTCCGAACAGTTGGGGCATACGAATCCTGCCATGTTCTCTACCACGCCTAGTACCCTAATTCCGGTCTTCTTGCAGAAATTCAGTTCCTTCTTCACGTCGCTAACGCTGATAGCTTGTGGGGTTGTGACTACGACGGCGCCGGCCAAGAACGGGACGTGCGGGTTGAGGGCAGGAGACGGCGTGGTATTCTTCAAGAGAGTTTCGAGTAGGGAGATATGTTCGTCCGAGGTACCGGGTGGTGTATCAATGAGTAGATAATCGAGCTTTGGCCAGAGGACGTCGGTCAAGAATTGGCGCACCATGGCGGTCTTCTTTGGGCCACGCCAAATCACAGCGTCGGAGCGCGAAGCCAGGATGAATCCCAGAGACATGCATGATAACGACCCAATCTTTTGACCATCTGCAGCCGCCGCTCCTCCCTCTTTCTGATCTGTTGTATTCCCATCCTCTCCCTCTTTCTGATGTGCCGCCAACGTCTGCTCCCCATGCACATCAACCGGTATCCACCCACCAGGCGCCTGTCTTACTTTCGCATCTTCAATACCGAAGAAGCGCGGTATACTCGGGCCCGTCAAATCTATGTCCAAGACACCGACCGAATGTCCTTGTAGCGATAGCGTGAGGGCGAGTTGCGTAGTCACGCTCGATTTTCCAACTCCGCCTTTGCCGGAGAGGACGAGGACGATGTTGCGAATGTTTTCGAGAGGCATCGCGAGCACGAAGGCGCTGATGGCCTGGGTATGTGTGAACGGCGGGGGTCGGTGGGGTTTGCGTTGACGGGTGTCGATGGGAAGTGGTTCGTTGTAGGGGGGTATGTGCAAGCTGAAACCCTCTAGATTATAGTATTAATCTGGAGCGTCGTCGGATGGGCGGAAGGAAGGGTTGTGTGGGTGGTGTCGCGGATGGCGCATGGTGTGAGTGATTGAGGGTTGTGGAGCGCGCTTTGAAATCCAACGACCTGAAAGTGGCGGTTTGCGGCGAGATCGGAGGTCCGACCTTGACCCGAGCAGGCCTACCCTACTACCAGCACATTATCTCTCATCAATTCTACAAGAAATCATAACATAGCTATCCCAATACATGGAAACTCGTCATTCTCACAAAATCAAATTAACCCTAAACTCTCGCATTTAATGCATGGCAATATGACTGTACCAGAATCAGTATACGTTCCTTGAAGCGTCTTTCATCATGACCAAGCCCACGGTAACATCTCAGCTATGAGTTCGGGAGATCATGTGCTCAAGGAGGATACGCTGCTGCCTCGAGCACATGATCTACCGAACTCATGGCTGAGATGTTACCGTGAATACCGTTCCAAAGCCGACCTCATGGAGCAAGTCAAAACTTGGACATTTGATGATCAAGCCCAAAAAGTCATTCCATATCTGGTATCAAATATAATCCCCTTTTCCAATCCGCTCTTTCGCAGGTATCTTCATTGCCATCTCCCTAAACAGCAGCCTTCTTTAGCGGCACCTCCTCGCCAACGACCAGTCTGTAGCCCTCCGCACCCTTCTCCGTCTCCAAGTCCTTTGGTGTTGCCGCCTTGGCGCCCACCTCCGGGAAGCTAAACGCCTTACTCCTGCCTCCCTCGAGACCCTTCCAAACACCGACCGTATTCCAATTGGTCCATGTCAGCGCGCCAACCCAGGGCTGCACATTCCACCCCAGCTCCAGTGCGACATCCGTCCTGTTGCCTAGCTTGCCAGTGATATCGGTAATCTTGTACTTTGGCTTCTGGTTATCGAGGTGGAGTTCACCGACGGGATAGGGCGACGCGGTCTTTTGCTTGGATGCAGCGCGTTTCTTGGCGGATTGCTTGGGCAGCTTGGACTTGGGGTCGGGGTGGATGAAGTGGTTTTGATTCCAGGGCGCGGACTTTGAGGCGACGATGGCATCCCAGATGATGGCTTCGGAGGGGGGTTCCGAGGCGCGGGTGGAGGGGTAGACGGCCTTGAGGTAGATGAAGACTTGCTTCGTGTTCCAGTTGAAGAGGGAGCTGAGATCTGCATGGAGGCGTCAGTCATGGTGTTTGAATGCTTGGACGCAGCGTAATTGCGACTCGTGTGAGAGACATACCGGCGTCTAGATCGAACTTGACGTGCGCATACTCTTCCCGTTTGGGTGAGTAGTAGTGCGGCCGTCCTCTCACTACCTGCACATTGCGCAGCGATATACTGGCCGTCGGGTTCTGCGGGGAGACGAAGCTGCTCAGCGCGATGATACTCGCGACTGTGAAAGCGACTGTGGTAAAGAAGCCAAAGACATTCTGGAGACGCACAAGCGTCGAATGCATTGTGAAATGTGTGATGTGAGCGCAGAGCCCAGTCTATCAACCCCTGTCGGCCACGAGAGGGAGAAGGAACTGTTGAAGGTGGGCGTGGAGATGTAGCCTTCGGTGGTCCTAACACGTATCTGGACTGTTGCGCGGAGGTCGGAGCTCAGCCCTACGAGACCAGGGTTCACCGTTTCCACGCTAGTGCATCACCGTCTCACCATCTCATGTCAGACGAGCGGATATTGTCACAAGTACACATGTTCGAGTGAGCTTATTTTATTGACGCTGCTACCGACGACTCAATATGGGTATCAGGATTCACCACTCCTATCATCCACCGTTATCTTCCCAACCCTTGAGCTCTTTCCCTGACATGTACGCGCATCGTCTATGCATTCCTCCCAGATGTGTTCACGCTGAACGCCGCAACGCCACGCTAACTTACTTCCTGGAACGCTCAAACAATACCGAACAGACGTTTCAATGATCGAGAAGAACACTCTACTGTGCAGCAGGTTGCGCGCCGCCCCTTGGGCCTCCACGCCCACGGAATCCGCCACGACCACGGCCTCGTCCTCTACCACCACGTCCGCCATCTAGATTGGCAGGCGGTGGTACGTTAGAGTAGTTTCGCGGCTGAAAGTTCGGGTTGTTAGGAACAACTCCCTCCGCCGGGTCAGTGTTGTCGATGACAGTGAAGCCACCACGGCCCTTGTGGCCTCCTCGTCCACGGGGAACGAAGTCTGCTGAGCCACCACGGAGGTTACCGCGAGCGTTGCCGCCGTTTGGAGCTTGGTTCTGGTTCTGCGCGGGCTGGCCATTTGCTTGTCCACCACGGGGCGCAAATCCGCCACGGCCGCCACGAGGTGGTCCGCCATGGATCGGGAGGGTCTGCTGCTGTCCTTGGGGTTGCTGTGGTCCTGGACTTTGGCGTGGTGCGAAGCCTCCACCCCGTCCGTTCGCGCCTCCGAATGCTCCTCGGTATGACCCACGGAGAGGTGCTGGTGTACCCGCTGGAACGAGCTGAGGACCCCCAGGGGCACCGAAGCGAGGCATGTTGTACGATGAAGGCACTTGTTGTGGGCGCTTCGCGGCAGCGGCACTGGAATAGTGGACGACCTGCTGATCCGTCATGTTGAGAACTGCAGTCGCTGGAACAGTGGATCCTCTGAATGGCGAACAGCGGTCTCCGAGCGATGTACCGCTCATAAATGTAGCATCGAACACAACATCCAGCAACAAAACACGTGCGGTGCGGGTCTTGCCAACCACGGTACCTGATGATCCAATTGGTACCCTTCCAGAGTCTTGAACATAGACAATGCGATCGCCAATGCTGAAGTTCTGGTGTCCAAGACGCTGCTCCGCGTCAGACGGCTTCAGCAAGGCAACACGTGGCACCTTGGCGACGGTCTTGGGCTCCACTTCTTGTGTAAGTGGGAAGTTGGCATCAGCCGCTTGCTCGATGAGCTTGACTGTATCAGAGTCGAGCTGCTCGGCGTCCAAGGGTACTTTCTCAAAGTTCTTGGTCTGGACGCTCTTTAACCAGGCTCCAATCTCCTTGACCTTCTGCTTTGCAACCTCGGGAGGATAAAAGTCAGTGTCCTCCCATCCATCACCTGTCGGGTTGTTGATAATGGCGGCAACAAACTCTGGGAACTTGATCATGTACTGCGCCAAAAGGTCCATCGCTTTCTGGCTGTACTCCCATCCGTTGGCTGATTTACGAGAATAGCCCAACACCTTGAGCTTCTTCGCCTCGAATTTGAGGTTCAACCCAAGGTTGAGCTTGAGACCACTTGAGTTGACGTTGAAAGAGGACGTGAGCTTGGACAATGCAAGCGGCGGCATGTTCAGTTGCCTTGCCACAACGTAAGATGGAACATAGGGCGTTGATCTTTCAGCCTTACTGACAACTTCGCGTCCAAAATGCGGCTCTTGCTTCTTGAGCTTGGCGACCATAATTGTAGCCTTGTTGTCGGCATGGCTGACGACTTGCAGAGGACGGCCATAGGCGTAGTCTCCGAGATAGAATGCGCGTGCTCCTTCGGGGAATTCCTCCTCGATAGGAAGTGCCTCTTTCTCCAGGAAGCGAGGGTCTGCGCTGAAGACGTCGTCTACGACTGTCTGAGTCGCGTACTCCACTTGCAGCCCAGCAACCTCACCGTACTCCTTGATGGTGGCTCCTTCGTCAGTCTTCCTAAGTCCCTTGAGCATTTCTACGTGCACGAGGGACTCAATTTCCCCGACGTTGATACCGAGGCGCTTGCTGTACTGGTTTTCGATGCGGTTGGCTGTCTTCTTCCAATTGGAGATCTCCTGTGGACCATGAGGGATAGCAACAGGTGCAGGAGATGGGCCATCCTCGGGCAAGACGTAGTCGAATAACTCGTCCGATACTTTGACCACTTTCGCTTCGTGTAAGAAAGGGTAACCAACATGAACCGCCTTGCCCAGCTTGGCCTGCGCGTGAGAGACAGACTGTCGTGGCTCTGTATCAAGGAGAGTGATAACCATGCTTTCGTTCCGGCTATCTTGCATGAAAACATTGACGCCTGCAAACTCCAGCTTGCCATGGAACGGCAAAGTCTTCAAACTGGGAAAGCCAGCCAATGCCTCGGCTCCCAGTTTAACACCGTCCATGAGGCCAATGTAGTACTCCAGTCCTTCCATTGTCGGCAGGTCGAATATGTTCTCGATGCACTTGCAGTGGGGAAGGTCCGGGAAAACGCCTGGCAAAGATGACTGGTACACGAAATCCAGATCTTTGGCGTATGTGAACTTGAGAGAAACACCAAATGAATTACGCATCTTTTCATCTGGCGTCAAGTCATTTTCCTTGGTGGCCATGGCCTTGAGCAGACGGTCCTCTTGGATGAACGGAATCTTGACAACAGCCTCCCAGTCCTGTTTCTTTCCGTTCATATCGAGAGTAAAGTCTCGGGGATAGAAATCGATGATGGGAGAGTCCTCGTTTGTCATGAGAGGATGGTACGCTTTCGGTACGATACTCTTACTGCGGTCGGGTAGTACACCCATCAACTGCTGGAAAGGCTTGAACGGCTGTCCAAGCTTGAAGTTGATGTCTGCCTTCAGACCCCGTTTGACATCAGAAATCATAGGCGAGTAGTGGTAGCCATAGTACCATGGCCATGACGCTACTCCGCGGTAGTAGTAGAAGAGAACCCATTGCAATCCTTGCACGTAGTTCTCCGTCAGTTTTCGTAGCTCCTCCTCGTTGCTGCGATCCCAATCGAATTTGCTCTTGTAGTAGTCGTTCTTCCAAGCGTCGAACTTCTCGTCGTATTTCTTTTGCATCTCAGTTTGGGCGTCTTCGGGTGAGATGTCGACAACCTTGGCCTGCTCGTACTTCTGTACGACGCGTACAATGGCTTTCGTGGATTCGTCGTCCATCTCGTCCTCGTCGTC